TATAAAATTACAAATAATTACAAAAGTATTACATAATTTTTACATAATTATTAATTGTTTCTATGATTTGTTTTTTGACCCACTCATTATTTAGGATTTTATTGTTAACTCTACATTTGGGTCTGATCTGCAAAAGATGTATTAACTATTTCAGCCTTTTTACACTTGTTTGCAATATCACTCTGCTTTGGTATATAGTCAATGTTGTAAAAGTTCCATGTGATACTAAGAAATAGGTATATTCTTTTGCTGTTCTATTTAGAAAATGCCACAAATCTTTTAACTTTCTCCAGTAAGTTGTTAATTCCATATTCTCCCTTTTATTTATCTTTCTGTTAGATTTATCCCAAACTGATAGAGTGATATTGAAATCACCTGTCATTATTGTATTGCTCTCTACATCTTCTTGTAGTTCAGATAATTTTTCCTTTATGAATTCAAATGCTAAGGTATTTGTAATGTTTAAATTTATTACTGATACTGGGTTTTTTTGTTTATCGTTCCTTTCTGCATAATAGTTCATCTCTTTTTAATTTTTAAATGGTTGTTTTTGCTTTGTTTGATAGCATGATTGCCAATCCTGCTTTTGCTTTTTTTTTTCAGCATTCACTTGATGAATGGTTATTTCCACCCTATTATCTCAGTTTTATTTTGTGTATTTTTGGGGGGTGTATGTTTTTTGTAAGTAACAGATTGTAGGGATTTTTTTTATTCAGTCTGTCACTCTCATTTTATTGGATTATTTAATACATTCATATTTAGTTTTATGAGATTTAGGTTTACATTTTCCTCTATTTGTCTGTAATACTGGGGTTTTTTTCAAGTTATACTTTTTTCTCCTCTTCTGTTGAAAGCACAGTACTATGATCCTTCAGTTTGCTTTAGTCTTTTTTAAGGTGGACCTTTTCCCACTGATTCTCTTCTCCTTATGTCTGATCCCTTACTCTCATTTATTACCCCTTTGCCATTTAGGTTTTGCTTGTTCTTCTTTTCTACTTTTATCTAGTTTTATAACTCTTCACCCCATTTTTCTTCTCAGTTAGTCAATTAGATTCTCTCTTCTTTAGTTTTTAAAACTTCATTTTTGGCGCCCTTTGCCAAAAAAGGATTTCTTGTATTCTCTTCCTTATTTATCCTTGCTTTCTGTTTACTTCAGACCCTCATTCTCTGATTCATGACTCTTAAAATTTTCCAGTCTCTTTTTTTTCTGCTTTCCTCATGTAATCAAAGCTTATCCATTCCAGGCTCTCCCCTCTAGATAGTTTTTTTGCTGCTGCCTTCTAGAGCTTGCTCCATAGATTCCCTCTTTCCATTTCACTTCACTCCCAGGACAATGCCAATGTCAGCCAGTGTCAGAGAGGACACAACTGGTGGTAGGGCCTCCCCAACCATATCTTTTATTATGCAACCCATCACTGATCTATATACTTCTCTGGCTATCTTTTTTTTTTTTTTTTTGCCCATGTGCCTCCAAATCTCCTCTGTGGGTCTATACTCTCCCACTATCCTAGGTGACAGTTGCTGCCAGGAGTTCAAACTCCCCAACTCCCATTGTAGGGAACGTAGACTTTTCAAGTACCAAATCCCAAAGGCCACATCCATTACAAGGTCCCCATCACACTTGACAGACTATCTCTCTTCACCCATAGGAGCATTCATCAATGAAACCCCCTCCCACCACCACAATAAAGCCTCTTTACTTCACTCCCCATTTTTAATCCTTTCCACTTCCTCCTCATCCATTTTCCTGCAGGCTCTTCTTTTCTGAGACCACAGGGGTAACCTTCCTGTTACTGCTAAACCTTGATTGGACCCAATAACATTACACATTCTTCTCTATCCCCCTGTAGTTCCCTTAACTCCTTTTATGTATGCTCCCATGTTGTAACGTGTTTCCTCAAAACAACAACAACAATAACAATAACACACACATCGATTAACTGGTAGTCAGAGTATCACTAGGTTCTGTGCTCCATGCTCACTTTTCCCTCCACCAGACTTTTACCTTCAACTCTGCTTGTGTACATTAGAAAGAAGTCTTTTACTGGTTTCTGTACTGTCACTCTGTTGCTGTGGCTGTCGTTGTCTGCTGCATTTTTATTCATTCCTCCTGCATATCTGTTTTTTGGGGTGTTCAAGATATAAATAATATTTTCAGTTTGGGATTTTTTTTCCCTAAAAATGTTTCAAATGCCTCTATTATTGAACATCTGTTTTCATGCATGGTTAAACTCAGATTTTTAAGGCAGGTCACTCTGTGCTGAATTCTCAGTTCCATTGCTCTTTGCCCTCTTACGTTTTTGATATTGTGATTATGATAATGTTATAATTTTGAAGAATAGTCTAACATTATTCAAATTTACTTTCTTTTGTATTTAGAGGTCTTTTCCCTGATCACTTGAAGAATAGTTTCTGAATTGAATTGTTAAATTTAACAACTATGTGTCTTGGAGTTTTCAGCTTTGCTTTTTTTTTTTTTCTCTTGCAGGTGATCTGTGAATTCTTTCAATTGGTTTTATTTCATTTTCTATATTCAGAAGTTTCAGGCTGTTCTCATCTACTATTTACTTCATTATGTTAAAGATTTTTGACCTATCATGTTCTTCTGGGAGACCTATGATCTTTTGATTGTCTCTATAAATCCCGTCCTCCTGAGATCAGTATGTTTTGCTTGCATAGTGAACATAAGTTCTTTCAATGTTGCTGTTTTTTTCTTCTAGACTGTATTTCTCATCTATGTGTTTGCATTCCCAGTATATTGTTTTCTCTTTAATTTTTTGGTGAGACCTGACATTGCAGATTCCAATTCTTTATTCTTTACTTTTTTTTTGCTGTGCAGGCCATAAATTCTTCTCTTAAAATTCTCTTTTCTCTTTTGAAATACTCAGGAAAAGTGTGTTGTGGTTCTTATTCTCCTTACATTCTACAGGGTCTTCCATCTCATGAAATGTTGGGTCATTTTACTTTGTTTTGCATTGTTTATTCATAGATGCCTGAACTAATTTATTAGATTTGGAGGTCATATTTCCTTCTGTTAATATTTTCCCTGTTGACTTTTCTGCTTATGTTTGAGGTTTTTAAGTTTTCTTCTTCCTGAGATCTTTGGTAATTTCAGTCTTTTCCCCCTTTTTTCTTGATTTTCCCCTATTTCCTTTCTGACCCTTGTCTCCTCTCCTGATGATTTCCTTGGGGGTGGCATCTCAAAGTGTCTCAGCCTCCTCTAATGCTTCGTAACATTGTTCACCAGCCTAAGTCTCTGCCCTGATTGACTTTTGGCTGGTCAAAAATGACCCCACCTAGATGCTTTTCCCCCTCAGCCTTATTGGAGTGCTGAACTTCCCTTCTTTTCCTCCCCTTACCCCACAGGGTGTCCTGTCCTGGTGTACAGCCCCACTCCCTCTGTTCCTTAGTTATCTGGCTGAGGTCAACAGTTCAGATTTCAGCACTGGTACTACAGGGTTGTCTGCCCTGGCACTGGCAGTTCAGAGTTCTGCAGGGCTGGTGTTATATGGTTGGGGCCACTGGCTATTTTTTGCTGACCAGCCAAACTTCTACAGCCTGGTGCTGGGATCTCCATGATACTGTAAAGAGCGAAGGGAAACTGGACTGTGGGGGTGAGTTTTGGTGTAAGCCTGTGTCAGATCCTTAGAACTTTTAGTGTAACCTTGCTGCCTATAGCATGGGAAGTTAGGGAGGAGTGTTGAATGAGCTTGGGGTCAGGGAGCTCATGGGTTTTTTTTTGTTTGTTTTACCTTCCCTTCTTTTTGACTCTTGAATGTCCTAGATGCAGAGACAGCTGAAGTTGCTTTATCTTTGGTGCATGATTTCGGTTTTGGAGAAGTTTGAGAGGTTATGGGGCTCAGAAAAAACATCTAGCCCTCCATCTTGTTTGTGTGACTAGAGTCCGGCCTAGGAGTTCTTAAAGTGAATTGGGGTGTCTGGCTCAAAGGATACTAGAGCATGGAGATGATTGGGCCACCACCATTTAGAAGGTGGAATAAGTCTAGTGTAGGGAGGTCAGTGTCTAGCCAGGAGGGGAAAAGGAGAAAGAGGCAGTGGGAAGCAAAGTTGAAAGTGTGTGTTAGTTATACTGGGTAAGGAGACAGGGAGTGTGTGGCAAATTCCGCAGCTGGAACCTTCAATTTGTAGTTCAGATACCACTTCTTGATCTCTCCCTCTTCCCACTAAATTGTCAGTCCTCCCTCTCTTTTCAAATTGCCTTCTCATCTATGTACATGTTGTATCCTTCAGTTAGAATGTAAGTTCCTGTTTCCTTTTGTTAATAATGCCTTATAACTGATAGGCACTTAATAAATCTTTATTTAATTGAGTTAATACATATAGGGCAAATTCTGAGGAACTTGTACCCTGGAGCTTTGGAAATGGCAAAACATTCCATATAATGAAAAAAAAAAACAAAATGTCAAAAATATATGATACAAGTCTCTTTTATGATGCGAAGTGAAAAGTACAATCTATTTTTTAATGATAGATCATTTTTCATTCAGTCTAATGATGGTATATTTATATTTACTATTTTAATAATTGATATACCTCAGGAAGAAATATAAAAACACAACACTTCCCCTTATAGAATTTTCATTCTAAAACTGATGTGGGCACACATTGATATGAGTAAAAGAAAAAGTATTTTGATAATACAGAATTTGTTTTCCTTTTTTTTCCAGTGAGGAAAATAATATTGACATGTGAATTCAAAGTTTTCTTATTAGGCTGTAAGTTGATAGTAATATAAAGAGGAAAGAATGAAAGTGAGGAACTTAAAGATAGAGTGACAAAAAAAGAAGAGCCAAAATTATACAAGCAGAACCAGGAGTAAGTGAAGGCCTGCATGCTGGAATGTGGGAAGAAGCACGTGCTCAACTTGCTGCTAGAAGGTCTGGCTTACCAAAGCTTGCTTAAAGAGAGAGATTCCTGTATGATATGATTGTCCCCCTATAACCTAGGTTTGTTATTGTTGTTGTTTGTTTATCATGCAGGTCTGAGAACTATTGGAGTCATCACCAAACTAGATCTTATGGATGAAGGAACTGATGCAAGGGATGTTCTAGAGAACAAATTGCTTCCTCTTCGAAGGGGTAATACCATGGTGTCCCAATCGTCACCTGACAATACAAGGAATAGAAAGGGTTTGAGCAGCTATTGGTAGTACTGATTTTAATGCAGTCTCTTCAGTTGAAAAAGTTAAGAATTATCTTGGTCGTTTATGGGGTCTGGTCTTCATCACAGTCGAACAATATATCCAAATGACGTATTGAAAATGATGCAGACGGAGAAGTATTCCTTTAAATTTCCAAACAGAGAACAGGAAAGAAAAAAACAGAGAAGAGGATTGAATGGAGGGTGTATGAATTCAGTACAGATTCATGATAATAAAGTCATTTAACTGATTTTTTTCTAATTTACTTAACTGCTAAATGGACATAGTTGTATCACAGAACTTCAGAAAGACTTAATAGTCTAGGAATCAATTTGAAATTCATAGTTCTTTGAAGTAAAAGATCTACTCATGTGATATTACCCCTCCTTCCCCCAAAAGTAACATTATCCAAGTCAGATATGCTTAAGTAAATCCTAGACCCTGAAAGTTGAATTTTGTTGCTTGTTTTAGGTTATGTGGGTGTGGTAAATAGAAGCCAAAAGGACATTGATGGAAAGAAGGACATTAAGGCAGCTCTGCTGGCAGAAAGAAAATTTTTTCTTTCCCACCCAGGCTACAGACACATTGCTGACCGAATGGGAACTCCACATCTTCAAAAAGTCCTAAATCAGGTGACTATCAAGATATTTGTTTTTAATATGCAAATATGTAGAGAAGTTATATGCTGAAATTTTAAAAGTAAATATTATTTTTATCGTTCCCCAGAAATTGTGATGGGTCATTGTAGTTGATCAGAATTCTTAAATACTTCAAAAAAATTTTCCTTTAGAATTTGTTGTTATGTAAATTGTTCTCCAGGTCCTACTTACTTCATTCTGAATTGGTTCATAAAGTCTTCCCAGATTTCTCTGAAATTGTCCTATTTGTTTATTATTTATAGCACAGTACTATGTTCAACTTCTCCAATTGATGGGTTCCCCATTTTTTGCTAGTTCTTTGCTATAATAAAATGTGCTACTCTAAATATATTTTGTGTACATATGGGTCTCTTACCTCTTTTTTAAAAAATAATTTTAACTGCATAAAACTAGTTCTGAGACAAAGGGCATGTTCTATTTAAGTTACTAAGTCCATCATTAAACACCTACTATGCAGCAGGCACTGTGTTAAGTAGGCACTGAGGATAGAAAGACAAAAAGCAGTTCCAGCTCTAGTAGAACACATAGTCTAATGGGGAAAGAAAACAGGCCAACAACTACATACGAAAAAAGATAATAATATTTATATAATAAATAATAATATTTATATAATAATAATATAATATTATTTATATTTATAATAATATTTATATAATGCTTTCTATATAACAAGTGCTTTATATTTATTATCTCATTTGATTCTCACAACATCCCTAGGAAGTAGATGCTATTCTTATTCTTATTCTTATTGTCATTTTACAGATGAAGAAATTGAGACGAATAGAAATTAAGTGACTTGTCCAGGGTCATATAGTTCATTAGTGTCTGAGGTTGGATTTAAACTCAGGTCTTCCCGACTCCAGGCCAGTAACTTTATTCACTGTACCATGGGTTATCTGGCATGTAGTAGGTACTTAATAAATACCTGACTGATTAATAGCAGGCATGGGATGAAAAGGAATCCAGCGTGATTGAACTTTACTGCTGCAGAAAATGCACTATGCAAAACTCCATCTTAAAGTCACAGTGTTTTCTTAGAGTCAGAGAACCCAAAGAAGCTCAAAGGGAATCAAATCAACCAAGTATACCCTGATTATTATGTTCCCTTCTATCCATATATAACAAGGTATATTTGATATTTTCAAAGTTTAAATGATCATGAAAACAGCACATATCATTCTTTTTCACCTTAATATGTAATTTTGATTTATCCATGATCATTATGCTTTTTTTTTTAAGCAACTCACTAACCATATTCGAGATACATTGCCAAGCTTCAGGAGCAAGCTCCAGGGACAATTACTTTCCATAGAACATGAAGTGGAAGCCTACAAAAACTTCAAGCCAGAAGATCCTACAAGAAAGACAAAGGCTCTGCTACAGTGAGTTGTCACTGTCCTATCCTGTTCCTAAACATCCTTTCAGTTTGATTTTTGGTTTCTTCCGTCTGTTGCTGTCATTTCTTAGTATAGAAGTGAGTCTCTTGGAGCTTCCTAATCTTTAGATGTTTAGATATTTACCCTCAGTATGTGATTATATTCTTAACTATTTTGTTTCTCCATTTTATGTTGTAATTTGGATCATTTCATTCAATTAATTAAGAGGTTTAATACTAGTTATGCTATCTTGTTTTTGTTTTTGTCTTTGAGTTCTGTAAGTAGGAGTGCTCTTGCTGAGAATATAAATGAAGTACAAAATTATACACTAGGGGAGACACTGGGAATAAAAGGATAAAAGTGATTTTGTACCTGTTCTCTGCTCTCAGGGAGCTTATAGCTCTCAGAGGAAATAGCATAGACATATATTAGTAAATGTGATATATCTATAGACACATACATATATATTTCTATACAGACACACACATATGTATGTGTCTATGTCCCATATATATCTCATATATACACACATACATACAGATACAAAGTAAATGCAAAATTATTTTGAGGGCATTAGTAGCTGGAGGATTAGGAAAGATCTTATATAGTAGTTGGCTTTTTAAAGTAGTTTTGATGTGAATTGGAGATTTAAAGACATGGAGTTGAGTAGGGAGTGCTTTTTAGTCATAGCTTCAGCCAATGTAAAAGCATGGAGAAGGGATGTTGAGTATGGGAAGCAGTGACTAGGTAAGCATAGCATGAATGTAAAATACATGGAGGAGGCTAATTTGTGATAAATCTAGTAAAAAATAGATTGGAGCAAGATTGATATAGGCTTTAAATGCCAAACAGAGCTCATGTTTTTTTATCCTAGAAACAATAGGGATCTACTGGTGTTAATAAGTGTGCGTTGTATGGAGAGTGTCAATATCATATACCTATGTTTTAGGACAATCACTTTGGCAGTTGTGGGATTAGAGAGGGGAAGATGGATTAGAATGGGGAGATAATCAGAACAAGTGACCAATTCAGAGACTGTTGCAACAATCTAGATAAAAGGTAATGAGGGCCGATGGTAGTAGCCATGTAAGTGGAGAGATGATCTGAATAGGAGAGATATTAAGGTAGAATCAGAACTTAAAAATGAATTAAAGTGTGCTGTTTTTAAATTAAAAATACTTTTAAAAGAGGTTTTAGTATTTTATTATAATGTCTAGTAAACAAGGAAATAAAAATAGGTCTCTATATTAGAATTGGAATCCTACTGTCATACAGTGTTAGCTATCTCTGCTAGATTTGTGTCATCAATCAATCCCCCACAAATATTTTATTACAGATTTACTTTGGTAGGTATTATGTTAAGCCCTGGGGATACAAAGCAAAAGCAAAAACAGTCCCTGCCCTCAAGGAGTTTACGTTCTAACGAGTGAGACAACATGTATTTAAAGAGGTATGGACAAGATACATTTTGAGTAGATGGACAGTTACCTTGGATGTTAAGGCTCTAATCACTAGGGAAAGGGAAAACCAAGTCTCTGCCTTTTTTCAAAGAGGAATTTGAGCTGAGTTTTAAAGGAAGCCGGGTATTCTAATAAGTGAAGGTTAGAAGGGAGTGCATTCCCAGAAGGAGAACAGCCATCACAAAAGCATAGAAGTAGAAGATGGAGTCATACATGAGGAATGGAAAGTCGGCCAGTTTGCCTGGACTATGGCATGCCTCGAGAGAGTAATGGGTAAGAAGGTTAGGATTGTGAAGAGCTTCAGATGCCAAATGGAGAAATGAGTAATTGTTCCCAGAAACAATAGGGAGGCATTGCCTTTATTTGAGTTTATTGAACAGAGATCTGACTTAGATCTATGCTTTAGATCAAAGCACTTTGGAAGCTGTGTGCAAGATGGATTGGATTGGGTAGTTACTTGAGGCAGAGAGACAAAGTAGGAGGCTATTGCTACAATCTAGGTGAGAAGTGATGAGGGGCTCTGTGAGTTGAGAGAAGGGATGTATATGAGAAACATTGTATAGAAAAACTATATGTAATTTGGCAACTGATTGAATTTTGAGGAATCAAGAATGACAGTGAGGTTGCAAGCTTGTCTGACTGAGAGTATGAGACTGTGTCCTCAACAATCATAAGAAGTTCAGAAGAGCGGTGGGTCTTGGGGGATAATATGTGAAGGTCTAACCTTCCTCAGTTTCCTTTGTTGATTCGTCATTTATTTAATACCCCCTAACTGTGGTCATTTCCTAAGATTTTATCCTGGGTTCCATTGTCTTCTCTACTGATCTAATCCTATAGGAAAAAAGGAAGTGAGCTTAGTCTGCCATGACATATTCATGATGAAGCCAAGTTGATCTTAGTAATTGCTGGTTCCCTTTCCAGATTTTCAACAACAATCTCTGTAATGATCCATTCTAGAATTTTCTCAGCAATCAAAGTCAATTTTACTGGCTCACAGTTTTCAGTCTCTGTCCCCTTCCTCTTCCTTTTTTTTCAGTTGAAAATCAGAACAAATCTTTATTTTTCTCTAACCTTGTGTTATCTCTATCATTTCCATGATCATTCAAATATTGTTAACAGTGGGTCAGTAGTTAACATCTGCCATTTCTGCCAGGACTTTCAAGATGAAGTTCATTTGAGCCAAGTGACTGAATTAATCAAGAGAGACCAAATAATCTTATAGGCCATCTGCTTACTATTATGAAAATGGAAATATTACTTAAATACTTTGAACAGTTCTAATCAAGTGGACAGAATTCATTTAACGATAAGTAGGAATTTTAAGTATTTATGCCACTTTAAATTGTGTTTGCTACATAAATTGTATAGTTCTATATTTCCTTAGAGCTGAAAAGCATGCATTCTTAATTTTGCCAGTAGGTGCCACTAAATACACTAGGAAAATAACATCTAGGAATAAATGTAGAAAAATTCAGTTCAGAAAAGGAAGACACTTCAACTTAGAAATTTTGACTTAAGCCTTTTTTCTTTAATATTATAGGATGGTTCAGCAGTTTTCAGTGGATTTTGAAAAGAGAATTGAAGGATCAGGAGATCAAGTAGATACACTGGAGCTCTCAGGCGGGGCAAAAATAAACCTCATTTTCCATGAACGATTCCCTTTTGAGATTGTGAAGGTATGTGTATGTGCTAGAAGTTATTTCTTGTTCCTCTGGCTTTTCTCTGTCTGACTATTGTCAGAATCACTGTTGAGAAAGGATTATTTGAAAACAGAAGAGGGCAGCAACTGAGTTTCCTAATGAGACCCTTATTATTCATGATTAAGTGGCAGAAAAGAAAAAGGAGAAATATTACCTCTTGGTAATTATTACCTTTATTTATCGAGTTTCACTCCACATTTGGTGTTGTGTGAGAGTTAGTCTTTGTTTTAAGTGTTACTGGTTTATTTTTCAAAGGATCAAAACTCTTAGCTGGTCTGGGGCAGACTGTTATGCGTTTTTCTTTTTTTTCCCTTTTTATATAAAAAGATCTTTAATGCTTTAAATAAAAATGGGATCATTAGACATGCAAAATTCTGAGTTGTAGTCGTAAGCACCCACAATATTAATTTCAGCCACTATATAATGCTTTTCAAAAAACTTTATATTTTTCCATTTGCAGTTTGGCTTTTATTATTTAGGTCTTAATCTTTCCATTGAACATTTTAATCAGCTTTTTAAAGTTAGAAGAATAAAAGATTTCAATTCAACAAAGGTTTATTAAGCACCTTCTTCCTAACAAGTTAGTAAAGGAAAGTAGGTAAGTTTTCATTTAGGTTTTAAAATTATAGCTTATCTATTTGCTTTCCTTTCTAAACTAAATATTTAACTTTGAGAATGCTGTTAATAATAATTTAGGGGCAGCTAGGTGATGCAGTGGATAGAGCACCAGCCCTGGGGTCAGGAGGACCTAAGTTTAAATTTGGCCGCAGACGCATAATCCTTGCTAGCTGTATGACTCTGGGCAAGTAACTCAACCCCAATTGCCTCACCAAAAAAAAAATAATAATTTAAATATGTCAATTTCAGTTAGGCCTCACAACAATCCAGTGGGGTGGGCATTAGACCTATTTTTAATCACTGTTTTACACATGGGAAAAACCGGTCTCAAGGACATTAAATGATTTGCCCATTGGTATTCAGCTAATGCGTGTTAAGAAGCTGAATTTGAACCCGGATCTTCCTAACTCTAGGGCCAGTTCTCTCTCTGTTCTATGCTCAATCACCAGCTTTTATAATTGAGGAAATACAGATTCATGTAATCCTAGAGGTAGAAATGCCTCTAGCAAGAGGCAGAAGACTTCAGTTTAAATATAAACTCTTCCATCTACTTATTTACTGTTTATTTGCCTTTGAGGTAAATAACAGAATCAAATTTAGAGTTAGGAGGGACCTTCAAGGTCATTGAATCTAACTGCATTATTGTACTGGTGAGGATACTTTGGCCCAGAGAAGTTCTGTGATTTGCTCAAGGTCACACAGGGAGTTTGAATCCGTGTCAAACTTAGGTCCTTTATTCAAACTTAGATGCTTTCCAAATCCAATGTTCTTTCCACTGTACCATGACGCTTTATAATGTCCCTGGGCTTCAGTTACTTCATCTGTCAAGTGAGAATAATGAAATCTTGCTTGTTTGAAAGCAGGTTAGATCACATGAGCTTGAGTGAGTCCTTCAAATCCTGCTATAAGTATACAATTCAGAAAATTTTCAGTTGATTTTAACCTCAGTGTCAAATAAAAATAATGTAACTCTGAGAGAAACTTTGAGAGAATTTATTACAGTAATCTGCCCAATAGTGTCCAACATTAAAGGCTATAAAATTTTTTAGAGCTAGGAGGGCCTTAGAAATGATCTAGACCTCTTTTATGAAGAAACTTCAAATATTTCATTTATCTGTGCCATCTTCACAGGCAGTTGTAATGGCTACCAAGACATGATAGTCATTGTTAATACAAGAATAGATGACATACTGAAAATGCATGGTAGGTGATACCCCTTGGTTATAATATGGTTTCTTCAAATTAATGTTTTGAGTAAATACAGTAAGCAACAGTATCTCTCAATGTCAGAGGACACAATAAAAGATGGGCAAGATCTTTTAAAATAACCTTTCTTATTTGTATGTTAGTAAGAAAAGAACTTGTGGTTTCTTTCGTGTAAGGAACTCCACGTATTGAAATTCCTTCTGTTAATGTACATTTTAATTCATCTATGAATTAGTAGATGAAAACCTAGGGAGTTGCCTATAGGTTAAATGATTTATTTAGAGTGGCATAGCTAGTAAATGTCAGTAGCAGTATTTGATGCCAAGTCCAAGTAATGCTTATATTCCAAGCTAACTCTATCCTTATTTGTAATAGTTATCAATAGTCTTCTACAGTCACCCAAAACACCCCAAACCCTTATCCTTGACCTTCATGTAAATAAAATTTATGAACTTCTGGTTTTAGATGACAAGAAACATGGATATCCATTCCTCAATAACACATTTAAGTCATACTTGTTCCTTAATACTGGATGGTATTATTATTCAAAAAGAATTGAGCAGAATATATTCATGCCTCACTTTGTTTTCCTAGATGGAGTTTAATGAGAAAGAACTGAGAAGAGAAATAAGCTATGCAATCAAAAACATTCATGGTATCAGGTGAGTGATACATGAATTTCCTTGTTTTCAGTTATTGTTGCCAAAAAAAGATGAACATTTTTTTTGATGTGCTATGGGTGCATAGAGGCAGGAGTCCTTAAAAGAAAATCCTGTTTCTAGTTTATATAATGATCCTCTTCATATCTTACATAATCTTTTTATTTTCTTGCAACCGATTTCCCTTGTTTATAAAAAAGACTGATTTTAATTACCCCCCCCTTTTTTTTGCACAGGAGTATGATGAAAAGCAATTGTATTACTTCATTAGATCTCTAATTTCATCAATGTGGGTAGTCTTTCAACAAAATGGATCACACTGTATCCATGTTATGCTATGAATTAATGTGCATTAAGCTCTGTTCTTAATTTTGTTAGTTATTTAAGATGATCTGGGATCTCTTTGCTTCTCTCTTACTCAGTCTCAACTTTTGATCTCAGGGTTAAATTGAGGTTAGGGATAGGAATTAAAAGGGATTAATTTGCAATCATTTTATATGTGCATATATGGCTAAGCATATGTGTTTGACTATATTCCAAAATCAAATAGAGATACTTTTTCAATGACACTTTAAAGAATATTATCTCCTCTACTCTAAATTAGCATTGACCATAGACAATGGTTTTCTTCCAGATGGAGCTTGAGATTGAGTATATGTTGCTTATATAATCACAATTTTTGAGGTACCAGATTCTAATACAGTCATTTTGGAAATATCCGAATTTGGATAAAGTAAGTCATTCAGTCAATAAGCATTTATTAAGAACTTATCATGTGCCAGGCATTATGCTCAGTACTGAGGATAAAAAGAAAGACAAAAAGACAACATCCCTGTCCTCAAGTTGCTCACAGTCAAATAAAGAAGACCACAAGAAAATGTTATAGGACTGTAAATGGAGGTAACCTACGGGAAGTCAAGTAGCACTTGGGGAGGGGAGACTAGGAAAGGCTTCCTGCAGAAAGTGGGATCTGTGCAGAGTTTTGAAGAAAAGGAAGAGAATAGTTTTCTAAAGCATATTCAGCCAGTCAGTGCTACAACTGTGAACATAATTCAAATCTTTTAACTCTCAGACAAAAATTTGCTTTTCATTCTTTACTGTAAACACCTATCAAGAGTGCTTTGATACTCGAGAAAGGACTAAATACATGCTTGTCAAATGAGTGATCAATCATCTTGTCTCAATTTGACTTTCTGCTAAGGCCCCTCTCTTGGCATCAGGATTGCTTTTGATTTTTTTTTTAAATCCACATTTCTTGTTTCTACACCCACTATTTCTCCCTCTTGCCTTTACAAGCTCTATAGATTCTTTGCTTAGTCTGCTATCCCTAGAATACAGATTTGAATCTGAAAGGAGTCCTAGTGTTCATTTAATCTAGTTCCCTCATTTTACAGATGAGGAAGCTGAGGCTGATAAGGTAAAGCGAGTTGTAGTGAGTAGCAGAGACAAAACTGGACCAATGTGCTTTGCTTTCACTTTTAATTCTGGGTTCTTTTCACTGTACCAGCCCACTCTCCTTAATATTAATGTCTGTCCCTTCCTTACATCTAGGGGATGAGACCAATCTTCACGCCAGAATTTTCTGACCTTGAGAGGCTTGAAGTTCCCCCAGCCATATGTTGGAGAAAAACTAAAACTAAAACAAAAAACCTACTTGAGTGCCCTTGATTTCATATCAATAATCCTTTTGATTCACATAAATATTTTCACTCTTATTACAGCCAACTTTGTTATTTTTGTTGTTCAGTCATCCAGTCCTGTCTTACTCTTTGTGACCCTGTCTACTAACTATCCATGGGATTTTCTTGGCAAAGATAATGGAGTAATTTGCCATTTCCTTCTCTAGTTTTATGTAGATAAGGGTTAAGTGACTTACCTTTCTTACTCCAGGCCCAGTGTTCTATCCACTGCCTTACCTAACTGCTGCACAACGAACTTTACTTGACAAGAATTAAGAATTTCCTTAATATTTTGGTTTATTTTTTCCCCAATCACTTTTGTTCTTTCAATATCCAATTCAAAATTAAACCTTGAATCTCTTCTGAGATTAGTTAGTTATTAGTTATACAAGTACAAAGGTATCTTGCTTTATGTGTTTTTTAAAAAAATACATTAAATTTAACTTTTAAATTGAATTAGTAAACTATCATATGGCAAATGCAATGATGATTTCAGCTATGTAAAAAACCCAGTGGCAATGAGTTTGGATGCTTATGTTTTGATAGTAACAATGACAAGTCTTACTTAAATGTGACTCTCTTAAGGTTTACAAAATGTTTTCCTCACAACAATAGTGCAAGTATTATTATTTCTGTTTTACAGAACAGGAGACTAAGGCACTGAGAGGTTAGTGATTTGTCCTTTATCACACAGCTAATATGTGTTCAAGGTAGTATACAAACTAAGGCTTCTGACTCTACATCTCTTGTCTTGTTCATGTTCAAATATGGACACAGCTGTATTCTATTTTGTCATGACCCAGGACATTGGTCATGAATATAGTTAATCATTTGGGTTAATATTTTAGGATGTTAGTTCTCTTATACAATATCTGTGTACGGACTGTATCCATAGCCAGAATTTCAGGCCTTAAACATATTTAAGTTTTTTTTTTTTGAGGGGGAAACCTCTTTCTTTTTGCATGTCTAAATTGTAGATGGGAGATCTTGAGTTTTCATGGAAGCTGCACCTGTTGACTAACAACCCTTTGGACAACTATCTAGTTTAATTATTAAAATCCCACCTTCTGCAAGAAGCTTTCTTTGGTTCCTCTTAATGCTAGCACACTTTTTCTGAGATTACCTCCTGTTTACCCTGTACACATCTTTTATGTGCTTAGTTGTTGCCATTTTGTCTCTCTTATTAGAATGTGAGTTCCTTGAGGGAAGGGACTATTGCTGCCTTTTTTAAAAAAATCTCCAGTATTATCATACTGCCTGGTACATACCAACTGCTTAATAAATGATTGTTGGCCAACTGACTGGTACAAGGCTGCTGACAAGAAAAGCAAAGACAAGCAAAGTGCCTTTTGCCCCTGAGGCAAGAAAAATGGGGCTTGGTTACACAACTGGTGGTCTTGTCTTTAGCAACACAGAACAGTGGTATGGGACTCTGTAAAAACTAAAATTTGAGCCAGGAATTTAAACTTAGGCTATTGTTCTTGGAATTTTAGCAAATTCATATTTTCTTAGTTGCTTTTGGGAAATACAGTGAGAGAGAGAAACTCAGAACAATTAAATTTTTGAGATGGAAGAGACCTTAGAGATAATCTAATTCAATCTACTCATTTTATAGATAAAGAATTGAGGATCACAAAGGAGGTTTACCCAAGTTGTAGTTATCTATGTATGACTAGGTGGTGGTAGAACTCTTATTGAGACTTATGCTTCCTACTCCTGTTCTAACTTCCTACTGCTTCTCTTTCATTATTATTGAATTATAAGCTCTTTGGAATTGTCTTGGATCATTGTATTATACAAATTAGCTAAGTCTTTCACAGTTGATTGTCATTACAACATTGATGCCACTGTATACAGTGTTCTCCTAGTTCTGCTCATTTCACTTTGCATCAGCTCACATTAGTCTTCCCAGGCTTTCTTGAAGCCATCCACTTTGTCATTTCTTACAATCACAATCATATATCACAACTTGTTCAGCCATTCCCTCAATTGATGGATATTCCATTTCTCATTCTTTGCTACCACAAGAAGAGCTTCTATAAATATTTTTGTATAAATAAATCTTCCCCTCCCCCTTCCTTTTTTGGATCTCTTTGGGACCTAATAGTGGTATTGCAGGATCAAAGGGTATACAGTTTTATAGCCCTTTGGGCATAGTTCCAAATTGTTCTCCAGAATGGTTGGACCAATTTACAACTCCCCCAATAGTGAATTAGCATCTCTATTTTCCCACATTCTCTCCAGCAATTGTCATTTTCCTTTTCTGTAAAATCTACTTTTGAATGATACTTTTAAGCAGTAGTATTCTTTTCTGACTTTGTACATATTATTTGACAGATTGATATCCAACATGAACTATAAGGACTAATGACATTATTAGTAACAGCACTATGGATGTTACAGATCATTAGGTGCCTCAAAAATTGCTTTGCGTTTTTTTATTATCATAGATGAAATAAACTTAAATGCTTTGCTTTTTATTACCATAAATGCTTTACCTGGCTTGAATCTTAGTATTAAAAATATTATCTGATATACTGTTTTCTCTATTTACAGGACAGGATTATTTACTCCAGATATGGCTTTTGAAGCAATAGTTAAAAAACAAATTGTAAAACTAAAAGGACCTTCCCTGAAGAGTGTAGACCTGGTGATGCAGGAGTTAATCAATACTGTAAAAAAATGTACCAAAAAGGTAACTTCTGAATGATTTCATTCTGATCATTGTGTGTTTACCTGTTGACCTTCAAGTTATGTATATCCTTTGGAAAGTAACTTGTTTCAGTATGACTTCCCATCTCTACCTACGATCTACATATAGATATGCTTTGGGACAGGAAAAGGATACTATTTTCAGGATATTGAAGAATGGACTAGAAGAAAATATATCGTTGTGGTTACTTTGTTGAAGACTTTAATTTCATTGTGCTTTTTTTCCTGAAGTAGATGAAAAATCACTTTCCATAGTTCAGATTGTGCTCCTTCCCATCGCCGTCCATGGCTAGGAGAGGGAGTTTGTCTTGTCTGGGTCCAAGCTCTTCTATCTGCTCAGGCAGTTTCCAATCAGCAGGCAGTAGAATATTGCAGCATCTTGTGGGAACTCTGGTTTCCTTCCAGTCCTGTAGTGCACAATCCATCCACACCATATCGTCTTGTACAACTTTGTTCATGTCCTTCCTTAAATCTGTTTTGTACAGTGATCCAAGACAATTCCAAAGGACTCGGGATGAAAAATGCTGTCTACCTCCAGAGAGAAAACTGATAAACCCTGAGTACAGATTGAAGCATATTTTCTTTAACCTTTTCCTGCTTTTTTTTTCTTTTGCAACATGGCTAATGTGGAAATATGTTTTGCGTGACTTCATATGTATTTGTTTAGTCATTTTTTCAGTCATGTCTGACTCTTCATGACCCCTTTTTGGGTTTTCTTGGTAAAGATACTAGAGTGGTTTGTTATTTCCTTCTCCAGATCATTTTGCAGCTGAGGAAACTGAGGCAAATAGGGTTAAATGACTTGCCCAGAGTCACACAGCTAGTAAATGACTGAGGCCAGATTTGAAATTAGAAAGATGAGTCTTCCTGACTTCAGGCCAACATTCTATCCACTGTACCACCTAGCTGCCATGTGTATAATGGGTATCATATTTCTTGCCTTCTCAATGGATGGGGGAAGAATGGGAGAGGGAGAGAATTCAGAACTGAAAATAAATTTTTATAAAGTAGAATTAATTTTCCTATCAACTGCTTTCTTCTCACACAGCTACCTCCCTAGTTCATTCAGGTCTTCATCATATCTCACCTAGAAAATTATAATAGCCTCCTAATTGGTCTCCCTCTCAAGTCCTCCACTCTACGTAGCTGCCAAAGTGATTTTTCCTGTATATTGGTGTAACTGTGTCATTTCCCTGCTCAATGAACTCAGTTGCCTCAGGGGTCTTCTTGTTTTTGTACCATGTAATACTCCATTTAACATCTCTCTGCCATTGCGCAGTCTGAACCCATCATTGATGGACTCCTTCCTGATCAGTGACTCTTCTAATCCCTAGTTCCTTTCAAAGTTCACCTCATGCACCACCTGCTACATGAAGCACTTCCTGCTCTTCCCAGATGCTAGTAACTCACCCATCCCCCCAAAATACTTTATATTATATATCTACATATGTGTATATAAACATACACATACTTATATATGTACATGTTGTTGCACTTGATAAAAGGTAAGTTTATTGAGGCCAGAAACATTTCTTTTCTCCCTTTGTATCCAACACATGTCTGGTACATGTGTTGTACTGATTGGTACGTAGTAGGCATATTGACTGACAACCAAATACTTTCCATCAATGACATGGACTGATTGGGATTTATCTGGTCCTCTTCTAGATATCTTGACATTATGTGCATGCCAGTGGAGCATGTGAGCTATCTCTAAGGTCATCCTTCCCTCTCTCTACATGGCTGACTCATTTTCACAGTTGTACAATTCTCTGATAATAATCATTTACATAACATCTCCTGCTCATTTTTTTCTTTGGTATTATGCTTTGGCCTAATTATGGATGCCATGTAGCTTTCCAGTGCCCTTTGCAACCTGCAACTTTAATACCTCAGGAACTGGGTAAATTGGTTCCTGTTTCACTCCCAAATAGCATCATCAGAAGAAAACATTAACTATAAAACCTAACTTTAGGTGTTCATTTTTTTTCAGGGAGAAACTAGGGCTCTTCAAAGAATTCTGCAGTTTTCAAAATCAGTTTCACCCTCTGTCTTCCTTCTGTCCAGTCCTGGGACTAGTTTATTGTCTGTCTGCAAGATGTTTTCAATTATCTGCCCTGGTGAATCAGTTTTACTGGCTGTCATGGTATGGACAAGAAACACTTCTTTGTCCATTTGGTTTTTCCTGTGAGGAGAGTTAGACAGAATTTTTTGGTGTGACAATAAGACTCTCTGAGGAAGATCCATGGTTGGTGAAATCATATCAGTGTACTCTACAAGCAGGAGCATCTAAAATCCCTCACCTTTTATAGGCTATAAATATAGGCAATATAGGCTCTTTGTTTTGGATTCTGTTCTGGATATCTTTTATGATTGGGGGAAGCACATGGACTCCAAGTCCAACACTCTGTCCATTGGTCCATTCTTAATGAAAGGATCGTAGGATGATACTATTATAATTAATATCCAGTTCTGTATATTTCAGTGGCTAACTCATGCTAAAAGTGCCTTGCTGATTTATATATACACCAATATGCCAAAGATCTGTGATTTCATTGGTGGGGTACTGACCCAAATTGCAGCCTACCTGTAGCATTTAGTAGGTAAGTCTCAAGGAGTTGTCTGAGGCTTAGAGAATTTAAATGACTCACACTCCTAGTAAATACCAGGGACAAGACTAGAATTCAGATCTTTCTTATCTTAAAGTTCAGAACTTTCACCCTTGTACTATATTGAAGATACCAATTGTTATTGACTGAGAAGTCCTTTCCCTATCTTTTTAATAGTTGATATATTTTGCAAAGATTATGTCTTTTTGGACACTACTTGGTGAAATCTCATTTTACACACATCAGGTGCACTCCTTATAGATTACTATATAATTAAGGTGAAGAAACACATTAATAATTAATAATGATGATGATGATAGCTAACATGTTTTATTACTGGCACTCATTACTACCAGGCACTGTGCTAAGTGCTTTACAATTATTGTTTTATTTGATCCTCACAACAGCCCTGGTAGGTGGTGCTATTATTATCCCCATTTTCAAGATAGAGAAACTGAAGACAACAGAGGTTAAATGACTTAGCCAGGATCACACAGCTAGTGAGTGTTTGAGGCCAGATTTAACCCCAGGTCTTCACAACTCCGGGCCTGGTGCTTTATTGACTGGGCCACCTGGCTGCTGTGAAGAAGAGGACATGAAGAAGACATGTTTGGCCAGGGAATCAGCATGGAAGGCATCCTCAGAGGAAATATTTATGGCCAGGGAATATGAATGAAGGGGAACATTCCAGGGCTTCATGTGACCTGGACACACCCATGCAGAACAGACACTTGGGACATGTTTGGTTGGAGCATTTCAGGTGTCCAGTATAAAAGGATATTGATGTCCTATAGTTTCATCATGTTATATATCACTCTGCTAGGCATTGCATCTTCACGTTCCCGCATGTTATCTTTCTTGGACATCCCTGTCAGTCCCATGGCTACCAAAATTATCTCTGCTACTATATACTAGAGTGCAGTGTCTAAAAAGTCATTCTCTGATGAGGGCAGGTTTATGTTCTTTTAGTTCATTAGTCAAGGGCTTTGAATCACCATATCTAGCCAGACAACCAACAAAAGGTCACTGAAGGCCCAGCCAATGATTCTGTCTGTGACTTTGATTACCTTTCTCTTACTGCAAACCTGAAATCCTCCCTGATTGACATATGAAGTAAGCCAAGGGCAAAGACAAAAAAACTAGGTCATGTCGTAAGAGGCAGCAACCTCCACCCCTGGCCCACATTGTCAATTTATCATGAGTACCTGCCTGCAATAAACTCACTGATCTTTCATACTGCATTCCAGCTAGTACAAACTTTGCTAGTCTCATAGTGTAGTAAATCAGCCCATCTGTTATCTGTATACTTGCATTACTCATCTCATAGAGTAGTTATAAAGAAAGTACTTTGTAAACCTTAGAAGGTTATATTATAACAACTCATGTTTACCATTGTACTTTGGGCTCCTTTGAATAATAAATAGGCCTGACACCTGCTAAACTGTTATTTCATTAAAATGATTACATTTAGAAAGCTTGCCAGTATCCTTTGCCTGCCTTTCTCTCTCTCTCTCTCTCTCTCTCTCTCTCTCTCTCTCTCTCTTAATTTTCTTTGAGCTGGGTTCTGAAGATAGATATTTTATCAGTAAAAACCCAAGTTAATGAATAAAGTATTTTTATTATCTCAAATCAAATTATCTTATAACCATGAATCCCAAGTAATCAACACATTTTAAAAAATATCTCAAATTTTATTAAGAAAGCCTTATTAAACAAGTTTTGCATTAAGCTTCCTGAGAAAAGTCCCATTCTGCATAACTGTAGCATGGCGTTTAACCCTGGTTTCTTTAAGGCTATTCCAGAGTAGAATACTATCTAGTAAATTCTGCTGAGCTAGAAAAAAATCATTTAGAGCTGGAAGGGATCTCAGACACTCTTATCCAACCCCTTCAATTTACAAATGAAGAAAGTGACCCAGAGAGGTTAAAGAACTTGCCTAAAGCCCTAGAGGTAATAAGTGTCAGTGGCAGATCCAAATCCAATTCTCTTCAGTATAGGCAGGTGGAAGTGCAGTGGATAGGGTGCTGGACCTGGGATCAGGAAGAGCTGAGTTCAAATCCCACTTCAGAAGCTTACTAGCTGCATGGCCCAGGGCAAGTTACAACCTCTGTTTGTCTCAATCTCTTCGACAAACTCGGTATAATAGCAAGACCTGTCTTGTGCTGCCCTCCCCCTGCTCACAAAATGGACAAAAAGCCAAAATAAACTTCAGTCTTGTATGGCCTCCTATTTCCACAGTGACAGTAGTTGAGTAGAAAAGAAGGTGCAGAGGATGCTAAGAATCAAAGAGTTCTGTTAATAAACATTGATTTAACCACTTTTTACTCTGCTTGGGTTCTACTTCAGTGCCTCATTATAAGCTAAGGCTGAACCA